AGAATAGCATCAATACCACCGGCTGATAAGAAGGAGATAAAACCTAATACACTAACTTGGAAAAAGGTCTATGTTTATGTAGTTAAATGTTAAAACAGGAAATTTTATGTATATCACCTGTCTGTCTATAGACCTGCTATACATTTTTATTAATTAAAGAATTGTATATACATGTGAAAAAGTCTGGAAGCATATCATGGAGCTGTATATGGTAACTATTCCTGAGGGGGAAATTTGGAGTAGTTATAGGGAATCTTTTACTTATATTTTAAATATGCCCCCCCCAAAAAAGAAGAAAAATAAGAATTGGGGGGATAAAGAGTAATTTCTATTTTCTAAATGTGCTTTTTTCACCTTTTCCAATTTATGAAAATTTTCAAACATACAAAATATTTACTATAATGAACACCTGTGTAGCCACAACCTATGTACAACAATTCTTAACAAGATTATTTTCTATTTTACACAATTCCCCCAATAAATGTGTGTTGCTTTTGTAATTAAGAACAAGAATTATTTGAGGTACAGGTTATAAGAAGACTTGGAAACATTTTTTTACACACAAAAAGAACTTTCCTCCCAACCTAGGCTAATGGACACAGTTCACTTTGGTTTAACATGTAACTCATCTATCAACTCATCTTAGTGTACACCCAGCTACTGCTGTCCACAAAGATGTATGAGGATTAATAGAGGTTTATTTTAAAACCATCCTTTTTTAAAGATTTTATTTATTTTACTTAATAGAGAGAGAGAGAGAAACAGCGTGAGAGGGAACACAAGCAGGGGAAGAGGGAGAGGGAGAAGCAGGCTCCCGGCCGAGCAGGGATCCCTATGCGGGGCTCGATCCCAGGATCCTGGGATCATGACCTGAGCTGAAGGCAGTCACTTAACCAACTGAGCCACCCAGGTGCCCCTAAAACCATCTTTTATTTTTTTTTTAAAGATTTTATTTATTCACTTGAGAGAGAGAGAATGAGAGATAGAGAGCACGAGAGGGAAGAGGGTCAGAGGGAGAAGCAGACTCCCTGCTGAGCAGGGAGCCCGATGCGGGACTCGATCCCGGGACTCCAGGATCATGGCCTGAGCCGAAGGCAGTCGCTTAACCAACTGAGCCACCCAGGCTCCCTAAAACCATCTTTTAATAAGTGAGTATTTTCCCTTCCTCTGTAGAGCTTACAGACTTGTAAAACTTGATTAGCAGTTAATAAATCTATCAAATTCTTCTACAACATCTCTCTCCTTTTCTCATTTTATTCAATTTTCCATTTGAAGTGATAAGTCTAACTTTAGCTAAATGATACCTTCTTATACACTTAGGACTCTAATTTTGTAGGTCATGGGTGATACAAACAATGGTACTTGAATTGCATATTTCATACTAGTTCTTACTGACCCGGTATACCAATAAATGATGACTAATTATTGCCAACTATCTATTTTTTAATTGTGTAGTTTAGGTTCTAAATATAAATTAATTGAATACTGCCAACTCTAAGAGACAGTATTCTGGTTACTAAGCATATTCATGGGAAACACCTACAAGCAGAGTACTACCTGCTCTCCTGAGGGTGTTAGCCTTCCTCACCCTGTTCAGATGCTTGAATACAGCGTTTCACTAATACAGTGACTAGATTGTCATCCAAAATTTGGAAAGTGTGCTAAAGCAATGTTTTTCTTTTTCTCACAACCTTGCAAAGATCGTTCTACTGAAAACAACAGATTTCTCTGCCTTTACTTGGTGCCTTAGTGGAGAGACAGTGGACAGGAATCTGATGTTTCCTTTTCCTGACCCAGTGATAGGTATGTCTGTAGTACTGCAGTGAAGGGTATATTTCTTTGAAGTATTTAAACTTTCAGGATACTGTATTTATATGGAATTTGGAATATATTTTCAATACCTTTGGAGTATGGGGTAGAATTGAGGGAAAATCATCTGCCTCCTTATATTCTAGGCTCTTTAACAAGAAGAAATACTTAAAAAGTAAATAGTTTTTCCATTCCCAAGATATTTTTTTAAAACGAAAATAGAATTTATAGGATTAGTGAACTAAATGATGTGCTTTTTTTACCTTCTGAAATACCTTTCATTTCAAATGGAAGTCTTTGATATTTTATCTTTCTCAACAGATCCATCGGAAGTGGAAGTGAACTTGCTTTCATGAACAAGTTCAGGTGCTAGGGGCTGATACATGAATCACAGGTTTTTTATTTCATTGAAAGTCATTTGTTTGGAGTGAAGATGTGGGTGGTTAATTCCCAACTTATGCATACCATTAATAAGAATTGTCAAAATTTATGTTTGTGGATAAACGATTTTACTTCCAAAGGTATGGTGTATATAAAAGCACATTTCAGACAGTAAGAGGGATTAAAATCCAAAAATTAAGGAGCGTCATATCATTTGCTGTGCAACACCTAGTAAAGGGATCATTTTATTGCATCAGCCAGGAAAGCCATTGATTATTTGTGAACAAGAGGAGAGGAAAAAACACAAAAATGTTATTTGGTCAACAACCCTACCTATTATCCTACTGGCAAGTAATTAAGGCGATTTGTAGCCATTGCTTAGAATCTGTACTGGCTGAAGCAAATGGTCACATTATTATGAATTTCACATTAATAGCTGAGTCTATATTCTTTGTCAACTGGTGAAATTTTCAGGACAGCCGACCTGGGAGCTTGGGAGGTAAATAGACTGTTTCAACAAATCAAGCTCAAGTAGATTGCTTACCTGTGTTAAAAGGCACAACACAGTGCTTCCTCAGTGAGCAGATGTGCTAGGACCTTAGGACAATATCTCCTGTTCTATTTTCTTCCTCTATTAAACTCCTTTCTCCCTCTTTATTGATTTTGCCCACTTTATTTCATTACCCATTTGATGTAATAAGTCTAACCTTTGTTAAATGATACCTCCTATAAACTTAGGCCACCATTTCAGTTTTGTAAAGCTGTTGATGAGATAAGCAATGTCCCTTCAACTACAACATTCATTCTCCTTTCCATTTACTTCTGTGAAATTTAACAAGCTCTCTCCATAAATGGATCTCATATTCCCACATACACTGGGAAAATCTGATTCTTTATAAACTTTTTTTGATTTGACCATATTTGCAAAATTGCCCATAAAAGCAAGAAGTACTTAATAGATGGAGGTCTCTTGGTTGAAGTCATTTCTATTCCCTTCCTTGTTTGTAGTTGCCAGCACTCTGCTAATAATCCTTTCTACATAGTTCCCATTCATGCTTCCTATTTATTACTGGAAACATACTCTGTTGGTGCTGGAATAGATGAGGGAGAGCACTCTTACTGCTCTTTTTCTTCTGGGGCTATCTTTGACTTTCCATTCACCCTATTCTATGCTTCTGTCTCTACTAGAAGACCAAGGTTGTTTCCAATACAGATCACACTTCACATAAGAGCCAGAAGGGGCAGGGCAGAGCAGCAAAATAACAGTCGTTCTCTATTTCCACAATGTGCTGCTCTTGTAAAAAAATCCTGTAACACATCATCTATGTGTCTTTTAGGTCCTCTATACATTGGTTTGGCCAAATTGAAAAGTGCATGAATTCCTGGGTCCATTATTATGAAGTTGCCTATAGCCTAAAGAAGTAGTACGCTGCTATTTCAGAAAGTGAACTGAGAAGGTTTATTACAGAAACTCAAATCATATCCAGTTGCCTTAATGGGATAGCTAGATAAAGACTCAATAAGGAACATCTACAAGACTACAACAATCCCAGAGGACTGCATAGGTTTGTTTAATCATCATCACATAGTCCACATTTATCAGCCTCTTAAAAAAATACATATAGGAGATTTTTGGCTACATGAACATTTTCTTCTACCTTCATGCTGTTGGAGGTATATCTTTGCTTTTAAAAAAAACGATTTTTAAAAAGTCTAACCTCCTTTGAGATAGAACTTTAAAAATGACCCACATTTATGATGATGATTTGTATAGCCACTTTGAAAATGCCAGATGCTTCTTTCAACTGAATTGTTACTAGTTACTATGATACGTCTACATGTAAAAGAGAAAATATGCCAAACACAATACGTTGTATTCAAGTCAAAGTAATTCACTGCAAATGCGTAGTTTGACAAATTTGTAGTGTATCCTACTGTGAGTTAGGACGTCCATTTGACGCATTTGCCAACAATTTGGTAACCAAATTTTAATCAGACTTTAGATCAGTTCTTTACTTTCTTAATTATCCTTAGGTATTATGACAGTGCCACTCAGTTTTATGTTTTTAGATCTCTTTACTACTTATGATTTTCCACTCATTTGGTATAAATAAAATTTACTTGAAAGAAAGCAAAATAGAGTTAGCCTCGAATGAATAATACTGTACAAAATGCCCCTCAGCAGGAATGACATGTTTGCTCTGTTGAAGCACTTAATGTCCTTGAAGAAACAAGTATATTTTTCTTATCCTCAATCACTTTATGTGCCTCCCCACAAGAAACCTAAACTGGCCACTTACATGCAGTATAGGTAATTTTTGAAAAGAAATTAATTTTTGCCTCACTTTGTTTCTTTCCCTCTTACCCCCCCTTTCTTCAGTGAAACATAGACGCAAATTAATAGGAAAATACAAAATAAATCTATTCTTTCCCCATGGAATGAATGATGCAACACCCATCCATCCATTCATTCACTTTATGAGAAACTGAATTCTTGCCAGACAGATGTCATTAAAAATAATAAACTGTGTTAAAACCCCCAAATGGTATGTATTCTTGCAAGACTATAGTTTTTCCAAAATTTGAAGATGAATTACACGTTTAGTCTTGTCTACTCCACCTCAGATTTGCAAAAAGAACTTTCCTTTCAAGACTTATGTATGGTGAATCTCAATAATATTACAATTAAAATCAAGATAAACAAAATTGTTCTAAATAAAGTGATGTATTTATCTCCCAAAACAATATCAGTTAGCCATAAAACTTTCAGTAAATACTGTATTATGGATAAGATGAGTCCTGCTTCTTACCTGGTGTTTGAAAATTAAGGCGCCTCAGTTCTACTGGGTCTGTTGGATGGTGTGAAGGGACCTCCTTACTGTTGGGTATGCTGCTCTTTCTAGAGTCAGACTCTGCCCTCTTCCTATAGGGAGAAAATAAAAATATAAGAATAAAATAAAAAAACAATAAAAACGCTTAAAAAGCAGAGAGTCATGCAGCCCCCTCTCCCTCCCAACTTTCTATTTTAAACCATTTGACAGACCAGCTTTGTGACCTTGTTCAGGTTACTTTTCTTCTCTTGGCCTAGACTGTTTCCTCAAGTCTAAAACTTTTATTTAAGTGAATGATCTCAAAGTCTGCTCTAGAATTAAATTCTTCATTGCCTCTGCCTTTAGGCTTTACGGGGGGTGTTGGAGAGATAAACTTGAGTCCTTGTTCAGCAAATCTCCTTTATCCACTGGTTCAATTTGTGAGGAACAGGACAGAGTACTACTAATAGCCAATACTAATAGAGTACCAATAGCCATGAATGTGGTTACCATAGAGAAAACCTCTGAAACTACTGAGCCTCAAGCTGAAGAGCTAAATCCATACCCCCTTTTTCCTTTTTCCAAGGTTTTATGACTAATGGCTACAGGGAGGACTGCATTGGATTTTCCCATAAGGCAGACAAATATAGTTTGTTCTAAGATTCCAAGTTAGCCTAATACGCGGAAGGAGAATTAGCACAATACAAGACCAACATCCCCTTTCTCTTTCAAATTAAAAAAAAAAATAGTGTCGGCTGTTTGTAGTGTTAAGCTGTGATTAATATTTCATTAATGAAAGTCAATCACAGAAAGATCAGAGAAAAAGTAATTTCACCTACTGTGTCTCACTTTTCCAATGATTATTCATGCCATAGGAACCATTAATAGTGCCTTGTTATAAGTAATTCTTCACACAATTCATTTAATCTTTGTTTTAATTACTATCTACCAGTTTTATTAAATACCTTTGTTTAGGGTGTGTAATATAATATTAAAAAGTGTCTATGCAAGAAAGGTCAGGGTTTTTTTTCATAAGATTTCTTTTTTTAAATTTTTTATTGTTATGTTAATCACCATACATTACATCATTAGTTCTTGATGTAGTGTTCCATGATTCATTGTTTGTGCATAACACCCAGTGCTACACGCAGAACGTGCCCTCTTTAATACCCATCACCAGGCTAACCCATCCCCCCACCCCCTCCCCTCTAGAAACCCTCAGTTTGTTTTTCAGAGTCCATGAGAGACGATGGACTTTCATAAGATTTCTTATTCATTTTTTTCAAACCCCTCAAACACAGAGTACTACCTATATTCTTTAAGGTTAAATTAGATCAAAAACTGAGGAAATGGAGGCCTTTTCAAGCAGTGCTTTATTCTGTATTTATTATTCAAATACTGATTCCAACAATCTCCGGGCTGCAGTCATAATCCTAGCATCTCACCCTTTTTCAAAACAAAGACATTCTTCTTTGGGGAAAGGGGCACAGCGGTGTTGAGGAACACTCCCTTCTCTTTCTGATAGGACTGTCGCACAGCTCATTAGCGTTGCTGTGGCAATGGGATCTCATTCAGTGCCACCCAGGTCGTTCCATGGTTAGCCAGAGGGCTCCTGTTAAATAGCCTTTCTTTCCATCTCTGCTCATCTATATAAAATAAAACTAACCAGGGGATGAAGGGAAGATTGATGCAAAGGGAAAGCACACTTGATTTGCTCAAGTGCATGCCTTCGGCAAAACAGCGTTGATGGAATACATTTTCTTGGGTGAGTCCTGTTAGACAACTTCCTCTTTCAGAACCTTGGATTAACCTGTCTCAGGATTTCCCGTTTCTACCTAAGGTGTCAGGTATAGCCTGAGGACAGAATGTACTGCCAAGCTATACTACCAATCAGAGGTGAGCAGTGAATCTGAGGTGTGCCAAAAGTACTGGCACTTCCAGTTGTATGGAGTGGAAAATGGAAACAGAAAATCAGAGCTGAGGGCTGGCAAGAAAGATAGGAGAAGAAAGGGAAAGAGTGGCTTGGAAGGCCATGTATGTGAAAGAAGGACATGGTGACCAGTTTCAGAGTGGAAAATGTCCCTGTGTTTAGGCTGTGGGTATTTCCCTCACAGAGATTCATTTTACCACCAAAGATACAGAATCTAAATAGGCTAATGAAATGCCACCAACTGCTAGTCAGTCAGTCCCACGTGTAACAAACATATGCTTGGTTATTCTCACTTCAGGGAACCCTACGGGTCCTTCTAAGGTTTGTTTGTTTGTTTTTCCCCATACGAGTCAGCACAGATACATTTCTTTACTGATATACCAGACCTAATGATTCAAACCTGGATTTTATCCCTTCTCAAAATGTCTCCACTGTCATTCTTGCAGGATTATGGAACCAGATGGAGAAATTTCTGGGCAAGGAAACTAGGTCACTCCTGCAGGTATTGTGGGGCATACTCCTTATCTTCTTTTTCACTGAGGCCAGGCTGAGTGATGCTGAGACAAAGGGACAGAAAAGAATACTCTCTAAAGAAATTTAGTCTGTACTCTGGTGCTAGGAAAGGTGAACATCACATCTTCTTGCCCAGATGAATCTCAAAACCCAGAGCTTGGGGCTAAAATTGCAGTTTATAATTGTGATAAAGTAGGGGGGGTTCCCTGACATTTAATAACTAACTTCTTCCTCACTTTATCTATTCAAAGAAATGACCTCCAAAATCTCAGATTCTAAAAATCCTAACCATCTCAGAAAACCAGCTGTTTAAATTTTGTTTTGCTTAGTTTAGTTCTGGTGATCATAACATGGATAATTCTGGCTGCCCACACTTTTGTCACATTATTTTTAAACATAAATGTGCTAAAATGGTTGTTTTCCAACAGAAAGGATTCCTAAGAAATGTTTGCAGGATGAAGAGTTTGGTCATCATTGGTAATAATGATAAAGAGCTTCAAAAACAGAATTTACTGCCATACAGTATTAAGTGGCACATGATGGCTTAAATCGGGGCCAACATGAATTGACGCAGTCACATGTTTTTCCTAAGTTTTCAGAGGTCTCATTATTCTCATTTTCAATGAGAAAAAAGCAAAGAATAGTAACTTCAAAATGATTTGAATTTTGCCTTGCTGTTTTATTTTTTCTATTAAGATTATAAGGTCCTATTGTAAGTTTATTTCCTGCAGAGAGAGATATCTGCCACATGTAGGAGTTATATGGGTGAAAAGGAAATGCAAGGTTACATGACATTTCAGATATGGTGGAAACTGCTAGTAGTATAAAAACATGTGGTAGTTTGGAATGTGGATCACACACTGTGATCACAAAAATGCTACTCTGTGGTCTAAGGGGCTTTTTATTTTCATTTATTCTCACCTGCATCTCATCTAGGGAGAAAGTGGGAGGGAATCTACTTACTGAGAACAAAGATATTCAGACATATGGGCCAAGGCTTTTGGAAGACAGATATATTTATCTGAAACGCCTACTATTAATATTCAAAGAAGTCAGTTCAAACACTTTATGATTTTTTTTTTAAGATTTTATTATTTATTTGACAGAGAGACAGTGAGAGAGGGAACACAAATAGGGGGAGTGTGAGAGGGAGAAGCAGACTTCCCACCGAGCAGGGAGCCCGATGCGGGGCTAGATCCCAGGACTCTGGGATCATGACCTGAATCGAAGGCAGACACTTAACAACTGAGCCACTCTGGTGCCCCAACACTATGATTCTAATGCCTTTAAGAATACAACCCCACTCTGCCACTACTGGTGTGTATCTTCTTGGGGAAGTCAACTATAATACTTATCAATTTCTTCATGTACAAAAGAGAAGAAGAAGGTTAGGACATGATGTCTAGGTTAAATGTTGTAATTCTTTAGAAGCTGAATTTGTTTTAATTTATATATTTTATAAAGAATAAAGTTATTGAAGGAAATTTCTAGTCCATTCATGTATACATTAGATGTATGCATTTGTAAAGTTACCCACATATGACTTAGATAATTCCAAAGCATACTACATAAAGTATCATTTAATTAAGAAAATTATAAACTCATTTTTAGTATCTTGAATATGCAATAAATGTTTAATTAGTGGTTCTGAAAAAAAAGAGAGCCAACTCTCTCATCTTAATGGAACCAGAGGCAGTGATAATATTATAAAATGTGGACAGTATTAAATGGGAAGGTAGATCTCTGAGTATATTAAGTGGGTTTAAAGTGTTTTATCTTTCAACTAAAAAACAAAACAAAAGATAAACCTACTTTGCATGTGTTTTTATCTGGATTAATGACAACTAGTGATATTAAAAAAAAAAAAAAAAAGACACCCTACCCAAGTGCTAAGTTTTCTATCAATGAAAGTAGCTTGCTGACCATTGTTTAGCTGATTTTAGGGAAAAAATACAGCCATGGTTCTCTAACTTCAGCATGTAGCCAAATCACGTGGGAGGGCTTACTAAACTGCAGACTGTTGCACCCACACCCAGAGTTTCTGATTCATTAGGTCTGGGGTAGGGAGTCCAAGAATTTCTACTTCTCTCAAGTTCCCAGGTGATGCTGATGTTTCTGCTGCTGGTCCAGGGAACAAGCATTGGGAACTACTGGAATACGGTTTTGGGGGGAAGGCAGTTGAGATGAGCACTGAGACCCTTTTCTTAGTTTAAGTTTTATCAGAAATTTGTATCTATTGATATAAATAGATAGATAGATAGAGAGAGAGAGAGAGAGAGAGAGAGATGATAGATATAAGTTAGAAAGATAGAAGGTCAGATTGGACGAGTCATTCAATAATCACAGAGATAGTGAGTCTTACCATTATTATTATTATTATTATTATCGCTATTACTACTACTATTGCTGCTTCTGCTATTATTAGTTGAGTCTGGAAGACATGGAAAATAATTTGAAACTATGTAAGAGTTTTCACAAAGGCACGGCCACCAATATTTGCAGGATATGACAATGCCAGTAGTGTTCCCGTATCAGGAGGTGACCTCAGATCAAACTTAAAAATCAGTCTTAAGTAAAAACAAACAAAACAAAAAACGTTTTATGGGACACCTCACATTTCTGTTCTGTAGACACATTAACACATACAAAGGCTCATTAAAACAAAGTTCAGACTGGTTTCATTACCTTCTAAATTTGGATAATTTGTTATTTCTTTTTATATAGACAAACTAATTTATTTCCCCCAGAATCATTTTAATCATTTAAATATTTTATAAACTAAGCTTTGTCCATCTTCCACCTGCCAGGTAATACCTTTTATACCCAACCTCCACCCTCACCCCCTCTTCCAAAGGCTACTGGTATCTATTACTGAGCATTAAAGGGGTTTGTTCTCTATTCCTCACCTGTCAGGTTTACTGCTCCATTTTAATGCAGCAAAAAAAGAAAAAGAAAGGCTAAATGTTAGTTGGGCAGTGATAACAAGAGTAACTATGACAACCAAGATTTAAGAAACACTGCTCACAAGCAGGGACACATTAAATGACACACATTAGGAAATGACAGTGTATCAAAACTTTAAAGGCTTCTAATAATGAATTAAATGGAGGACATGAGGGTACATAACTAACTAAAGCATTTTTTCTGTGTATATTAATGTCACATTCACTTTTATCCATCAACCTACATAATATTGCCACAATTATTTCCCAGAAAGTGTTTGATGGTAGAGATATACTATGTTTTTTACAATACATACAAGAAATTTGTTCATCTAAAACAAAATCTTCAGTTAAGAGGTATATTATTCCTCTAATGGTATAAAATATCTGCAAATTGCATTGACCTGCACAAAAATGGGCACAATGGTATAATACACTATGAGGTAATAAAGTGGCAAAAATGATTTCTTCAAACTCCTTTTGACAAGTAAGATTATCATAATCTTTTTTGCCAATAAAAAATCAAATACATTTTCAGTTTTGGAAAAAGTAATACTCATCATTATAAGCCTACAGAGCATGACCCACCTATATTGCTGGGCTAATCCTGAAAGTCTTTTGTTACCAGCCACTGACATGACAGATATTTTCATAGTCAGAGAGATGCTGCTGTCTGTGAACACATCTAGCTCATGCTCATGTGATAATATGTGGATTGTTTAGATAACTATGTTCTTTATGCAGAGAATATAACTTATACCTTAAAAAAATTAATCTAAATAATCTCCATGGTGAGGTGAATTGAGAAGTATTTGGTGAGTTCTCAAATCCAAAATAGAGATACTAAGTCTGCCTTAATGCCAATGAAATACATACCTGAGTTGCTAAAGAATCTGGCTTTAAGATAATCTGGTCTATCTCCTTTCAAAAATACAAAACCCACATTTAAATTGTACACACACACACACACATACAAAGTGAATAATGAAAGTGATATCAAATACACTGGTTAATTCTTTGTATTCTTAAATTTAAAATAATTTACCTAGTGCCCCAGGTTTTAAAAATCCTAAATATATGTTTCTTACTTGTTCATTTAAAAAAATATATTTATTTTTTGACAGAAAGAGAGACAGCGAGAGAGGGAACACAAGCAGGGGGAGTGGGAGAGGGAGAAGCAGGCTTCCCACGGAGCAGGGACCCCAATGTGGGGCTCGATCCCAGGACCCTGAGATCATGACCCGAGCGAAGGCAGACACTTAGTGACTGAGCCACCCAGGAGCCCATTTTTTTTTTTTTTAAGTAGGCTTCATGCCCAGCATAGAGCCCAACACGGAGCTTGAACTCATGACCATGAGATCGAAATGAGCTCAGATTAAGTTGGATGTTTAACCGACTGAGCCACCTAAGCACCACTAGCTTGCTCATTTCTAATCAAGGAGATTTTTAGGGGGTCAGTTGTAGGAGAATCTATTTCTTTGGATGGAAGAGAACTACTTAGTGAATTATCAGTTTTGTGTATTAAAAGGTTGAGTATTCTTATTGAACAAATGCATAGTTAGTGTGTGATTCACTCCTTCCACTGAAATGTCAGACCGACCACACACATGGGTATATATTTGGGGCAAGTATCTAATTTTGAAGGCTATGGGACTTGTAAATTTAAATTATAGGCTAAAGGTTTTATTACAGCTCTTGCCAGTCAACACGAAGGTGATATTGTATGATGGAGTAAACAAATGGAGGGGATTGAGTTTGGAGTTTGTTAATACTATTCAATTGGTATAAATTTGATTACTCAATATCCCTCTGTGCCATGCAGTCTACTAGGCATAAGGGATAACAGTGAAGAAATGACAGAGTCCTTGATATACAGTTTAGTGGGGGCAAGAAAGACAAGGATATGAGCAAGTCCAGTAATGTGGTGGTTCTGTGACATCGATAAACAGAAAGTGCTTTGAAGCGTATAGATGAGGGAACACCCTAAGGGCAGTCTGAACTGGTAGAGAGAACAGGGCAAGAGGAAGGCACCCAGAAAGGCTTTTTGTTTAGTAGGTGGCATCATAGATTACTTCTAAGGGATGTTTCAGAGTTAGCCAGGCCAAGAGAAGAGGCTGGGGAGTCAGAAGAAAGGCATTTCAGGTATATGGAAGGACCTACTCAGAGGCCAGAAGGCAGACTCAATCAGCATTGTCCAGTGTGGTTGGGCATGGCAACATACTTCTCCGTAGCATCTCAAAATATTCTGATCTGTGTTACTTTCTTTGATGACATCTTGGAAATATATGTAAAGTTGATACAAAAAGAGAAGACTAATGGGGCACAGTCCACAGAGAGTGGCTAATGTTTGAATAAGGGGAAAGCTTAAAAAGCTGAAGTTTGTGTTTTAGTCCCATCTGTCCCATGGCTTTCATACATGAACATCTGCAGGTGGGGATGGGAATTATTTACTCTGTCCACAACACCTATTTAGGTTAGACTATTACTGGTTAAGGATGTTAATTTTGTTTAGATAGTGTTTAGATCCTTCCAACCTCCTAATCCTTATTTCCTTTTCTTCCATAGCACATAATAAATATTTCTCATCCATCTTGAAATGCTTTTCCATTTAGTCAGGCTAACATTTTACTTTCAAATATCTTCTATATAAACAATTCCCAGACCATTCTAGAACTAATGACTAAAAAGCCTTACACATAGAACAAGTGTACAATGTAGATGGGTATCTAAGTGTTCATTTGCTTTATGGATTATTTTATTTTATTTTTTTGTGGGTTGGATGGATGAAGAACAACCTGGAGTCATATTTAAAAAACATACACACACTGGAGACAGAAATGTTATAGCAATAATTCTATTACTTGGGTTTTTATGTTGTCAGATTATAGAACATTATTATTAAAAAGTTCAATTATCTCATCTACCTACTTACTTTATAAATGAGGAAACTGAGGCCCAGAGTGTTAGCATGACTTTCTACCCCAATTAGCTACCTAGTCACAGAGCTAGGACTCAGTTTCCCTGATTCCTGATTTTCTGATTAGTGTTTTTCTAATCCTTGCTACCATCCAATCTCTGTAATTTACATTTTGAAAGCTTGTATATATCACATAAAGAGAACAAAATTAAAAAAATCATAGGGCAAGAGAATTCATCACACTAAAAACCTACCAATTATATTTTAATTTTCTTATGGTTCAGCAGTTATTTTAGGGGCCTTACAAAGCCTCAGTTGATGCTGTTTTGTCACTGATTATCAATATACATATTATAGGTTTACAAATTACTAGATTAAAACTAAAGTCAAATAAATATAATGCCAGATAAAAGAGTGCACTAGTTCCACATCAATATACTTAATAGGAATAAGTCTCAGTCTCTTCACACAGATCTATAAAATATGCTTCTTTATATGAACAAACCATCCATAGCTCTAGACCTACTCCTGAGGCAAGTAGTTTTGTAAGCAGGTATGTGTGATAAGTGGGATTATCAAGATAATGTGAGTTAATAATATTTAATAATAATGATAATAATGATATATTCAATTCCGAGTCATACCGATTACCTATGTATAACCTGAAAGGCACCTAAAAAGAGGGATGAAGTATTTATTATATAATTAACTTTGCTCAGAATCTAAGCTATAAAAGCCACTATTCATTGCCTACAGAAGATTTCCTCTTGAACTGCCTCATGATAATCAAGAAGGACATTGTTGGGTCTACTTGAATTTCAAGTCAGGAATGTTCTTTACTGCTGAAGCAAGCATTTCTATTTCAGAAATGCTTCATGGGCCTTCAGATGGTTGGCTAAATATACTTAGCATTCGAGGATGTCTGCATTTCCCAACAATTGCATTAGACGATGCTTACATATGCACACACTAAAACGCAACTCTATTTTAACAGAGGCATAAAATCTTTAAATGTGATGCCTCTTTTTGCAGGATTAGAAAAGAATATATAACCAAATTGATTTTTCCTCAAGCACATGCACATGAGGCAAGGAACACTTAATTATAAATCTTTAAAAAATTATCAAGGTGATAATCCTATTTCCTCACATTTACATAACTCATGAATGCCATGCACATCTCTGTTAAGTGACATGACTTAATGATAACCAGATATGACTTAATGGAAGCCAGATATAGCCGAATGAAATACAACTTAAAAAAATACAGCAAGCATTTTGTTCATTTTGAATAATCACAAAATGTCATGTGCCATGGTCTAGAAATGCAACCATCGGCAAGCACTTTCTGATCTGACTTCCACAGTAGGATTTGGCCACCTAAATAAGTATCACAGAAAACAATGATAATTCTACTTTCAGTCTTTAATTATTATATTCTCTTCTGGTCATAAGTGTAGCACATGAACAGCACAGGGCACCAGTTCCTGCTTGGACCCACTCAGGATTTGTTATTGTTCTGGGGCATATGTGGGCACATTGTGCTTCCTGTCCTTACTCCTTACACAAGAGAGAGGCAACAAAATAAACACTGATAAACTATGGATTAGGATGGGGAGATTGAAACCATCATCTAAGAGAGAGTTTGGCCTTCAATTACTTGCTTTTTCAGCCATCTTACAGTATGGATAACTGAGTAATGGCAGTGATCAGGAAAAAAAAATGATGGCTATTTCTTTCCTTCTTCTTAAGTCTAAAATAGGATAGGCAATTTAATGGGTTATGGTTATGAACTTCTTTCTTTGTCTTTTCTTTTCAACCCTCTCTTTACACTGAAATAAAATGGAATACAGCCTGTTAAGAGAAAGTTTTGCAAAGGACAAGTGTCTTAAAGGATATTTTTTTAAGTTGAGAAGCGGTTATAAAAATAAATAAATAGGGCGCCTGGGTGGCTCAGTTGGTTAAGCGACTGCCTTCGGCTCAGGTCATGATCCTGGAGTCCCGGAATCGAGTCCCACATCGGGCTCCCTGCTCAGCAGGGAGTCTGCTTCTCCCTCCGACTCTCCTCCCTCTCATGCTGTCTCTCATTCTCTCTCTCTCAAATAAATAAATAAAATCCTTAATAAATAAATAAATAAATAAATAAATAAATAAATAAATAAGACTATTCCAGGAATATAAGAAGAACATGCTTAACAAAAGAATACAGGTAGAAATAATTAATATAAGCCCAGTGAAGAGAGCTAGATAAATAGGAAAAAGAGCTAATGGAAATAAGATTATCAGATTAAGCATGTCAGCAAGAATCAAAATGAAGACATTCTCATCTGATTTTGAAAGTCAAAGTTATGGGGGGAGGCTATTTCATAGTAGTGGGAAGATATCATCTTCACAGTAGCATTCTGAAAGATGACATACTACAAAGAAAAATGGGAACATAGATTCAAGTTTCATAAAAAGAAAATTTGGATTGGAAGAAAAGAAAAAGTGATATAAAAGGAGATAATTCAGAATTTAGTCATTCTACATGTTTAAGAGAATGTATTATATATGTTAATTTTTATAATTTTACATATTTTAATATTATATATATTTTTAAGTCAGAAAGGAGTTATGGAAAGAATTACTAATGTACTCTTTCCAACTGACTGGGACTAGGGGAAAAATCTAGCTTACTATAAATGAGGCAGAAATGTAATTGAAAAAGGGTGGAAGATCAGAAAACATGGGGTAGATGTGGATTATCTGCATCCTAATTGTAGTCAAAGACACCAAATCGGATCAAAACCTGGGAGTATAAAGGCCAAGGTTGTGGTTTTAGTTTTTTAAAGGAAAATGGTACCTTATATCCCCTTCTTAGACACAAATAGAATTCACTATAGAATAAAGGTTACAGAAAGAAAAAAAATCATTCTCTTCCACATTTTTCCTTCTTTTATCTTCAAATTTTAGCTACTTTCACTGTTTTGAGAAATAGCTACAGGAAAAAAATCTTAGCTCATGCACTCATTAGACATATGGAATGGGTATAAATGTGCAAATTTGTAATAGTATTTCTAAAACCATGTTGAAACTGAGCAATTAATCATCTAAAGCAATCAGATGCAAGCTTGGAATTATCTGCTTGTGAATGTACTCATGTCTTGCAAAGTGCCATGCAAAGTGCTCCTAATGCTTAAAGTAGCTCATAAGACCAAGGCTAGGATCCGTGAATGCTGGGCAAGAAAGTCCATACCACACTTGAATGGGATTTGAAACAGCACAATCTTTACATTTCATTCTAATCTAATGGAAACATCTTCCAATGATTATGGGGGCTACACTGAAGTATTTCATTAATAGCAACCACATAATGACCATAGAAGGATTACCAAGATTGCAATAGAGATACAAGGCAAACCTACCTTTTATAAAGAAGAATAGCTATGACAATGCAGATGATAAAGACCACTGCAAGGACAGGACCTACAACCCAGATCAAGCCTTCTTCTTCATCTGTGATGGGCTGTGGATCCAGATCCATTGATACAACGGGGTCGGAGTAGGGACTGGTTGCATACATCTTCTGAGGAAAAACAGAGTCTGTGTTACTTATAAACTAATGACTTTCTAGTGTGTGTCCATAGCATTAGAAGGAGCAAAACTTCCGAACTTAGTGGATGTGATTTTAAGTGTATGAAACAATGTCAGTGAAAAAGGAGATGAGGGAAAGGGATGAGAGAAGAGGTGGGAGAAAAGGGAGGAAGGAGGAAAAAGTAAAGAGATCTTGCAATGGAAATTTCCTTGTAGAGTGAAATATTTTCTAATCAAATCGTTTTTGATGGTGTAAATTACTCTGTAGACACATTTTCATTGGGATCTATATATGACATATTAAATGATCTTATGAAGTATAAAGTAAAACAGTTAACCATTTACAAAATATTCAAAGAGCATTTACACTGTGCCAAGGTGTTATGTGTTATGTGAAAATCAACAGAAATATGATAGCTCCAGCCCTAAAGACATTATCAGCCAGTTAAGGAGATCAAATTTAAAAAGTAAACATTTATAGGGAAAAATGTCAGTATTCAGGGAGGGGGAAATGGAGACATATAGGTCAAAGGGTACAAATTTTCAGTTATAAGAAGTTCTGAGGATCTAATGTACTGCATGGTGACTATGGTCAATAATACAGTATTATATACTTGGAAGTTGCTGAGAGTAGATCTTAAGTATTTTTCAGCACACACGCATACACACACACAAAGAGTTAACTATGTGAGCAGACAGATATGCTGCTTATCTTGATCTTGGCAACCATTCCACGATGTATATCGTACATCAAATCATCATGTTATACACTTTAAATATATAATTATATTTGTTAACTTTCCCTAAATGAAGTTGGGAAAAATATATAGTTACTTGATGAAGGAATGGACTGAATACTATAAATTTTATTTTTATAACATCCTATGTCTCATTTCAGACTCTCTTAGAACAGTATTGTCTTGACTTTGCCCTCCCCGCTCCCCAGTGTAAGGTCCTAGCTTTTCTTTTTCCAATAGAGACAAATCCACACCTATGGGCTGCCCCACCTGTCTTGCCACTATCTTCTCATCTCTTCTCACTCCAGCTCTACCACTGATTCTGTTTTCTCATTTGTTTAATAGAATTGTCATTATTCAGTCCCTTCCAGACATCTTTTCCAGATTTGCCATAGTTGATTGAGCCTTATTTAAAACTCCTCCACTGGTTCTCCTACTTCTATACTCAACTGGTCCCATTCTAATCTTGCCAACTGATCATGACCACCTCTGAATCCATCTTGTGCCAGCATTCTTAAGTTTTATTTTCTGCTAGTCATTTTCTCCCTTCTCTGGCAAGGGCATCCTTACCTTTAACTACCAACTTCTATGCAGATTACTTCCTGATTAATGTTTCTAAAGTCAGAAACTCTGCTAACTCCCAGACTTTCATTTCCAGTTATTGCTAGAGAGTCCTACATCTACCTGCAAGTTAAGAATTGCATGTGTTATTTCCCTGCTTGCTAGATATACCCTCCTTCCAACTTGCTAATTTTTCTCATCTTCTCAATACCTAGGAATGAAAAACTACTGATTTTATTTTGCCAATGACCCTCAGGTTGATCTACCCTCTTTCCAGTTTCATGGGTACCCCTTTTCTTCAGGACCTCATTCATGCCCACCCAAAGCATACCTAGATTTTCTTTCTTCCTCTAACAGTCTCTAGGGCTGCTAGAGTTATTATCCTAAACTATAGCTGTAAAACCTTCAGGAGGCTCTCTGGTGATTCCTAAATAAACCCTAGACATCCTAGCAGCGATCTTAAGGGCCTCCATGATTTTGTTTTAAACTTCTGTATCACACACAACATTTTCCATCATACTGAGCTTCTGGCTACTATTCCCTAAATGTCCTATTCTCTCTCTTTAACCCTCTCACAAGTTCCACAACATTTGGCTCCTGTAATCTAACTGATCTCCAAGGCCCCACTTATACTGCCTCCAGTGAAGCTACCACTCCTTAACTGGAAATAATCAATCATTTCACAAAGTATAGGTAAAAACAACACTTAAAATTTCAGGTAGTCCTTTATTCCTTATTTAATGGTATTCGCCCGGCTCTATTTGCCTTTTTTTATTTGTGCATATACCTTATTTTCTTTAGCAAAACTATAAACTCCAGGAAGGTAGGGATTTATATACCGCTTGTGTCTGTACACTTAAAGTAGCTAGCACAGAGCTTTGCACTTAATGAGTTCCCAGCAAATCTTCGTCAAATAAAATAAAATGTTCATCTTTTCAAATGGCTGATCTTATCAAGACATGAGAGTGTATTCTCATCTCTCCATGATTAGGAAGTATATCTATTTTTTTCATCTGCATTTAAAGAATTAATTTAGGGCATATATTCTGAATTTAAGTGCAGCAAGCTTAGTGGTCAATGTGGAGGGTCTATGCCCCACTAAATGTTTGTATTCTATTCTTCTTTCCCACTTTCCCCACAGTACTTAGGAAGGAGACTGACTACATTTCCAGATTTTCGAATGTGTCAAAAGATAAAAAGTCAGTACATTTCCAACCTTCTCAGAAGCATCTAAAAAAAAAGATATGTACAGTGTAAGGACTTGGCAAAGACACTAAATATCCAAGAAACATGATTCTTTATATAAGTGTAATTGTTTGTTTTGGTTTATACTTTCCCCTTTCTATCTTGTAGGTTACACTCAACTGTTTGGCAGACAAAAATAAACAAAACTCTGTGATTTGAAATTCTCTACCAAGGGCCTTAGAGATAATCATCTTGGTCAGCCGAGATACAAATCTAAGCAGAGGTTTTCCCAAAGCACACAGATTTCCAACCCAAATCAGGAAATAGAGACATAAGAAAGTGAAAAGAAAAGAAAACAAAACCATAAAGTGATACCAGCCTCATGAAAATAAAACTTGTTCAATGTGTGGGGGTAATAGCCTTTGGTCAGATACTCTTAACATGAAGCAATAATGGACTAGGGAAAGCTCATGTTTTGAGGGGTGGGTCTTTTCTCTATGAAAATTATTAGCCTACCCTGGAGTGGTTAGGTGCTTAACAACAATTATTCACAAAAATTTGAAGCTTACAAAATGACAGTATCACTGCCAACATTATATTCATTGGATACAAGTCTTTTCTATAAAGTAGATGCTAGCCTGAAAACATATACAACACATAAAGAGCATTGTTGAGAAAGATGATGGAGAAAAGGGACAATTCAGATAATTTATTTGGAAAAAGTCCTAATTACATAATTAATGAAACAGTGAAATGGCATACTAAGGGACGATGTAGACTCTTCAGCATTGGTAATGCATTTAAACACTAGAAACATCTGGGAGAATTCAAACCAGAGTTTCTGACAGTGGTCATCAGCCTGCATGGTCTGCAGAGGCTGCTCTTCTTTGCTGAATTCTCTGATCTACCTCAGTGGTCTGAATGTGCTTTCTGAAACATCTTAAAGCTATGTAAGGAAAATTACTTCAAATATCTAAAAGTCATTAAAAACAAGAGAGAAAAAGATGATTTCTAACATTCTATTCCCTTGATGTTCTGCCTTAAAACCTTCAACTAAAAAGAGAAAGCATATCCATGCATTAAAATTCCAGGGAGCCCATCACTTTGTTTTCAAATGACATTCTGTGCACAAAGGTAAACCAGGCAGAAAGGCTGCCTTTGTGTTTTGATTTTCCATGGAGGAATTCCTTCAGTCATTTGAAGAGAAGCCCCACTATATGTGCTAACACCGGAGGTGAAGAAATCTTTGATACATCTCGGGTTTCCTCTATAAGGGAAGTGACTGGCTCAACTGAGCTGCCACGCCTGTCAGTTTTAGGCCCCTATTAGAAAGATACAGTTAGAATATGTATATTAAATGTTAATGTGAACTGCCACTTCAAAATCCACCCCCCTTCACAGCTACAATTTCTCTTCCTCTCTCTCTTTTTTTAACATTCACAGCAACTGAAGCATAAAATGACATAAGAGCAAGATGAATTACATAAAAGAAGACAACTCATTATTTAGAGTACCTTAGGAATTCTCTGTTTTATTGAATTATTTTCTAACATTCTTGGCTTTTCACTGATAAAGTCATTGGTAAATTGCTATAATTAAAGAAGCTGGCTGTGCTTGCCTTGTTCCTAGACAGACCTTCCCTACGAATCTGGGTAGAGATTGTGGGCTCACCGGCAGTTGCAGGAGAATAAAACATAATCACCCTCAATCAGTATTTTTGAATACCTGGAAATACCCTATGTTTAATTGCAGAACTTGATAGTTTCTATTGTAATCAAATAAACTTCTCTGAGAACAGTCATTTTTAAAGGTTGACGAAGGTGCTTTTGAGCAGTGATGGGTACCACCCTCCTTTCCAGATGTGTCACATTGATGGTTCCAAGAACCATGTCCTATCAGTTCGGCACTTCATAAGCCAGAAAGTCCACCTGAATTCCATGTCATTAGAGACACAGCCTTGTTTATAATGAAATCTCAAGCAGATTACTCAGCAGTGTTTAAAGAGTAGGCAGCCTGTTGCTCCACTTAAGTTAATGATAGCTCATGAGAAATAATTAGGATGGATATATCTACATAGACCTATTCTGGTGAAAATATGTAAGAATACCAAAGGAAAGAGATGCCAGCACAATTAACTTACAGACTCTGCATGTTCCATCACTGCTAACACAAAGAAGACATATTCTTGACCACTTTGGAGTTGCTTATTTGTAAATCCACCATAATGTTTGTCATCCCCCAGGGTGAACTCAGTGGGAAGGACATCAAAGTGAGCAGCAATATATGGCTTTAATTCAACTTCTCTCCCATATCGGATGCTTCTGCGTTTCCTAGATATCTCTTTAAGCAGCTTAAGGAAAAAAGTGGGAAACAGAAAAAGAAAAGAAATGTAAACAACAATAACCCAACTTAATGACTATTTAACGGGAGATATTAATTCAGGACTGGGAACAACTCAACTACAGTTTGTCCACATTTCATGTACCATGTCAGCATCACTAAATCTCAGTTCTCTCTTTCAAATGCTTGTCTTGCTATTAAAGTAAGGTGTTAGACTGCTCTTGCAAGGCCCAGGAGATAAACACAGGACAATTAGATCCTTCCTTCGCTGATAGCTCATATCACTGTCTACCCCAATGAAATCTTCTCAAAGGGCAAGAGTACATTATAACCGAAGTAAAAAAAAGTCAGCTTGATTCACAAAAGCCTGTCATGCAGGCTTTATTATTGTTATTTATTAAATAAATAGTAACCTCAGATAAAGCCATCAATTATGATCAACTTTCGGAGAGGTTAGTACCATTTTAGATGGTTTTTAGTAGTGAGATCATTTATACAATACAAATATCCTCAAATCAGCAGAAATAGAATCCAATGACCAAGTTTTAATTGAAACATATTATATAGACATTGTCACTCATTTAACAATTTGTGGCTTGACTTGGTTTCTTGGCTCCTTAAATAATCTTTTGGTTATTCCTCACATTTATCATGACATCAACTTTTCTGGAGCTGAGAGTTCCCTGGAGAGGTTGAATTATCTTCTCAGGTGAAATAGAAAGGGTAGGTAAGCATTAAATTTAATATTACCCTGAAGAAAACAAACACACACATGTACACAAAAATCCTTCACATATCTCTAAAAGAAAAAGGTAGAACTTATGTTTCAATATTCCTGTTTTGCCTTCACCTTTTTCATTAGAAAGTCACATTAATGATATTTTATGACAAATGATTTCAAAATAATGTTGAAGTTAGCTTTGTCTTCTCCCCTTAAATATATTGGTATTTCATAGGGTGTAACCAGCGGAAAAAGTTTACAGCAGCCTGTGATGCCTTTTTTTTTCTTTTGGAATGAAACTTGTCTTCAACTCAATAAATAAAATTAAGGTACTAATGGAAACATTATGGTGAAATTATTTGCTACTCTTGTTATATAAGTGGAAATGATAAATCAAAAACCAAAGTAGTGGTATCTGCTTAGCTCCCAAGGCCAGGCTTCTGTGATAATGGTTGCAGATTCTATATACAGCAAACGTCAAATCCTTGTGTTAGGAACCTGACGGTATACTACCCAAGGTTGTAAATGAGCTCAGCTGGTCAGATGTAAATCAATAGGTAAACACTCTTTGGGTTATATAGATAATCTGTGCCCGCGTTGTTTTGAATCTAATTTCTAAAGTTCTAGTATTTTCTTTAACTTTGAGTTTATTGATGCAAGAAAATTACATGAACTATAAGCTCTTTTATGGGAATCCCAGTAGACTGGGATTTGCTAAACAAACAAATTTGTTTAGCAAATTTGGACTATCTGATGATACATTCAAGTAGGCTAATCAAATACGCACCAGTGAAGAGGAAATAAAACAAGGCCAAAGACTTAGCACTATCTTTGAGTCCTGCTGTCAAGTTTAGGTTTACTTATAATAATGCTAATCACAATGATAGCTAATATTTATTAAGCATTTAGTTGAAGCACTGTTCTCAGAAGCCTAAATATTTATTAGTTCACTTACTCCTTATAATAAACCCTATAAGGTAGGCTATTATTATATCCCCATTTTATAAATGAGGACATGAATGTATAACAGAAGTGGCGATATATAATTGATATATATTACATGTAAGGGATTTTTCAAATTATATTTTTGTTTGCTTAATCATTATACAATATCAAGAAAACAAAATGCAACATTTAAGCTAAACTGATAATCTAAATTGTTTTAACTCAATCTATACTTAGACATATATAATTTTTGTGCATCTGTTCTCATTAATGTAGCTGAATGAGTACTTAGATTTCCTTTTCCTGGATACTTTTAACATGCTATTTTAAAAATTCTGATGCCAAATATTTAATAGTGTACTGGAAATTCATTATAAAGGTTATTATTGATATGTAGTAAACAATGAGCCATTACTTTAAGGACAAACGTACTGCAGATGAACTGAACAGCTTTTTGAAGTTGGTTAATCAGAAACATTTACCATCAGTTGTTTATGTGACTGTGTCCCCTCTTCCACTTCACTGATCAAACCCTACCTTGATTTTATCCATATTTCACATGTATGCAACTATCATAATTCATCCATATCACTGTCATCCCCATGAACACTTTTTGCTAGGGTTTCTTTAGAAGACTTGGAGGAAGTACCTTAGAATAAAATATTTGGGTTTTTTGGTGTTCCTTAGGTGCAGTGCAGCCATTCCTTAAGGTCAAACGTGGAATATCAACTCTGCCCCCGTGGGTTGCTCTAATCTCTGCAGGATGCTTCCTGTGTTATACTTTAATTGGTCAAGTATACTCAGATGTTACCAAAGTTACCCAGTATGTTGAAATTACAACTACAAATGACCACATTATTTAGGAGCAAGCCTTTGAAGTAAATGCAATGAAAAGCTTATATTATAAAACCTACACTGAATTAAATATAACTAATATTTTATGAGTCATTCTGTCCAAAATTCAGTTTGACTATCAACGTCTACTCTGCCCAGTCTGACCTTGACAACAAAAGTTCCAGTGCATGAATTTATTATGTGGAGATTATCCCCAGACAAAGGATAAATGAGCTCAGAAGATAATATTGAGAGTGACTCTGTTTAGGAAGCCTCTTTCCATTTTTTATGGGCCTAGATGTGAAGCATACATGTGGAAATCCCCTTAGGCCACCATTATATTCAGTGATGCGGTTTCAACCATTTGAATTATAGGTCTTTCTAAAAAAATCACTTGGTCAAATACATTTAAGAGAGGAACACTGCTTTGTCAAAGCTGGCAGTACCAAGCTATAGATAAAATTACAACAATGCTTTTATTATCCACGATAGGGGGAAAAATGTCTGTAGGGATCAGAAACTGGATGAGTAAGCATAAAGTGAGGCCATAGACTAATTTCATTTGTTCCCCTACACAATAGTTACAAAATGTATTGGAGGTAATTCCAGAAGATATATCAAGGGCTTTAGTTTTTTATCAGAAATAATTTTCATTTTCCAGTCAATGCATATCTTATTTCTTCCACCATTAATTCTACAATGTGGTCTCAATTATATCAGTAAGAAAAGTTGGAAACAACCCATCCTGACCCCAAAATTTTGAATTAATAAATGTTCTTTATCAAACTATTATACAGATTAATGCACCACAACTTGTGGGATGATTAAAATGACCCGTTGTTATGGGAATCAGCAGCACAGACCCATAGAATTTAATTGCAGGAAAGTTCAATGTCATATAGCTCTATACTTTAATCCATTAGCATTGCTGTGCATTTTGGAGGTTAAAACCTGGCTATAAAAGAGAATCAGCTTCCTATTGCTAGTAAATGGTTCTACTTCTAGGAAAAGGTTATTATTTAAAAGTATTTGACATAATTTTTGGATTGGATTTTAATTCTTTGATAACTTGATTTTTGCTTTTTGTTTCTTGTTTTTAACAGGAGGAAAGATTCATAGATTCTACAAGTTACCTTTGCATTTTAAAACCAATTCCAATGGAATTCAGTAATTTATTTGAGAGCTGATTAATTAATAAGTAAATATGACAATCTCAAGATTAACTGATTAGTCAGTTGTAAGTAAAAGCATGCCTTGCTTCAAAATGTTTAAAAAAGGGGCACCTAAAAAGAGAGAACATGATAAGATGAGCACTGGGTGATATACTCAACTAATGAATCATTGAACATTATATCAAAAACTAATGATGCACTATACTTTGGCTAATTGAATTTATTTTTTTTAAGATTTTATTTATTTATTCATGAAAGACAGAGAGAGAGAGAGAGAGAGAGAGAGAGAGAGGCAGAGGGAGAAGCAGGCTCCCAAGGAGCAGGGAGCCCGACACGGGACTTGATCCCAGGACCCTGGGATCATGACCTGAGCCGAAGGCAGACGCTCAACCATCTGAGAGCCACCCAGGCGCCCAAATTGAATTTAAATTTATAAAAGGGGGGGCACCGGGTTGGCTCAGTCGGTTAAGTGTCTGCCTTCAGCTCAGGTCATGATCCCGGAGTGCCGGGATCAAGCCCCATGTTGGGCTCCCTGCTCAGCGGGGAGTCTGCTTCTCCCTCTCCCCTTCCTCCTGCTCTTTCTCTCTCTTTCTCTTTCAGATAAATAGATAAAATCTTTAAGAAAAAATGTTTACAAAAGACCAGCTGACATTTTGCATATTCAGATGGAAGATTACTATTCCTCTAACATAGAAAAATGATTTTATTCCTTCTTTATTAACAGAAAAAAATTATAACATAAATTACTTGATATTATTGAAATGATATACCATTTTACACCCCTCCAATGCTTATCTAATCATTAAAGAGTGACATAAAAGCACAATCCTAACCTTGAACTCATCTCCTCTTCTGAACTTGATCAAGTTTAACTCAGATAACTGAAGTGGGTGAAGATGAACCATATGTCTAGAGAGGATATATGTCTGCCAAAAGAAGCTAACAGCCCTTATCTGTCAGATCACAGTCTCCTTAGTGCAGACATGTATGAAATAAACATCTCTTCTCTGTAATGCAGCTAAGGAATTTCTTCTTTCTCCTGCTCTGTTTGCACTAATTTAAAGTAGAGGAAATACCTGGAAACAACAGGTTGGGCTATAACATGTGGCCTATGTTGTAAATAAACTCAACAAATTAAAATCTCATATGTCCCCAAATGGGGACCTTTTAATTTGCTTTCTGAAGTGATTCAAACCAGCATCATGTTTAAATAGCAAAATCTTTCCTGTATTTGACTGAACCACAGCCATTAACTTGCTTGGCCCTTTGAGGATATGGTTTAACATTTCTGATCACAGTTTTCCCATCTAAATAGAATGTATAATATTTAGGTCTTTTTCTTCATACTATGTATTAGCTTCCAAAAAAAACCCCCAAAACCAAAACAAATGTTCTTTTTGCAAAAAGAGTATTAATTAAAATGTACCTACTATTGTTGTAAGATTTCAGAAATTAAAATCATACGATTTGGTGTTTGCTGTGGATTTTGTTCTATGTTTATTTCTTGGCTCAAAATTTGGGGATATGTTTTGTTTGGCCCTGCAGTTAAATGCATTTTTGATTCTGAAATCCTACAAAATATAGAATATGGCAAATGTGCTAATCAGCATAATTCTCTGAGAAACTGGTCAAGAACGCATAGTAGGTCAGATGTTAAACTCTGGTGCAAATTGCAATTTAGCATTTGTAACAGCTTCGGCTACCTCTACACTAATGAAGCAGACCTTGGAGTTCATAGCAATGATGATTATTAAGTCTTTGCTGACAATTCACTTCACCTTCTACACCTTGCATCATGTTTTACAAGGGACAAGGGGCAAAATATTAAAGCCAACAAAGATTAGACAGGTTGCAAGTTTTACTGCAGCTAAATGTCTTTTAATTAAAGCAAAGAGTTCTCTGTTGGGGTCCCTAGAGGTTATCAGGCCCATAGTACTGAACCATCCAACCAGCTGACTAGCCAACCATATAGAAGTCAGCACCTTCCTCCCATACAGATGAAGAGTATGTTTAATAAATTAAATAACCAATGAAAGACACAGCCAAAAAACACATAGTTACCTCATCTAATTCCATTTCATCTGGACTCTCCCATGGCTTGATAAATTTCCCACGAGATTTCTTCAAAGGCACAATTATTATGTAGTAACCTCTGCACAAGAATGGACAAAAATAAGATTAGATCAAAGGGAAAAGAAAACGGATATGTCCTTAAATCTTCCACAGACCAGTGATTGAGAATGAAAGCAAATTATGGACTTGGAGTGACTTGTCCATCAATGAGAAATAACCACCTGTTTGCTCAGTTTTAAAAACAACATGGGTAGACATTTATGTGTGACTTCAATGATCTCGTATGGTAATACCACCATGGTTGACTGCTCTTTATTAGGTATTGTAAACAGAGCAGAAACAGTTTGTTAGGACCCTGGTGCTGGGCACATACAAGTTTAGTATACTGAAATCCAGCATCACAAGCTGCTGAACTAAGTATTTTCTATGACATCAATTTATAAGGGGATTTTATTTAAAGAAAATGTATAATAAAAATTACTCTTAGCTCGTAAAAATGCCTAGATGACGACGACAATGATTTCATTTATACTAAAATACTTTTTATTTGGACAAGAAATTAAACACATAAAAATTACCCACAACTTCACAACAGTTATATAATGATGTAATTGTTTTCTACCCATCAAATTGCAAACCTTAAGATAAATATTGCAGAAATTTGGAGACAATCACTATCTGAGAGCCTTCAAAATAGATCTCAAAAAATAAATGTATAAGAAGGGCAAAAGAAATTGACTACTCACATTAAGAATAGTCAACTAAAATTTAAGTAACTATAAAGGTATCTGTTCACAGGTAGATATGGGTTATTTGAAAAATCGTTTTGCAATTTCCACAAAATGTATATACCCTGCTCTTGTATTCATGGTTTATGACTCTGCTTGATTTTTGGTAGTAACTATAAAGAACTTTAAATGTATGTGTATAATAGCTAACACATCGATCACTTTCTACCTCTCAGGTATTGTATTAAATGTATACAGTCTCAAAAACTATATAAGGACAGGTAACAGACAAAAAGGTAAATCCAGAGAGATTAAATTATGACCCAAGTTAAAACATATAGTAAGGGGATACAAACTTATATATATCTTAACCTTGGCAAGAATCCGGCTCTTTTTCTGTTTCATTTACTCTGTATTATAAAGTACTTTAAAAACTCCATTATTTTGTGGAGACTTGTTGTGAAAATCAACACACACACACACACACACACACACACACATTTTTAAAAAGAGAAGGTTGCCACACAGGGAAAAGAGACCGCAGGATGGGCACTAGCAACCTTGCATCACATTATATCACAGAGACCAACAGCACACACAGGAAGGCCTCTTTCTACTTATATCAAAACAAAACCTGCAATAAACTCAGTAAAACCTTGTGATAAAGATCTCTGTTTCCATAAACGGAGTCTAGAGCTGCACTGTCCAATATGGTAGCCACTAGTGAGACACGTGGCTAGTCTGAACTGAAATGTGTTCGCAATGTTAAAGACATTAGATTTTTAAGACTTCGTATGAAAAGTAAATGTAAGATATCTTGGCAATACATTTTTAATAGTGACCATATGTTAAATGATAATATTCTGGCTATGTTAGGTAAAATAAAATATGCTATTAAAATTAACTTTACCCATTTTCTTGTACTTTTTACTGTAGTTGCTAGAAAATTGAAAATTTCTTTCACATGTGGCTTTCATGGTATTGAACAGTGCTATTTTAGAGTGTTTTGGTGAAGAATGTGGCATCTGGAGATACATCTGGCCCACAATTAAAGCTCTGTGACTAATTTGCTGTGTGATCTTGGGCTGATCATTTAACATCCCTTAATCTCAGTTGTATGCTCTGAAAAATGTGAGCACAGTGTGTGGCAGGTAGCACCAAACTGATGGAAGCCGCTATTGTTAGTACTGACCATAATCGTGGGAGAAATCCATCTGAACTGCGTTATTCAAGTAGGACTTAGTGACATTCCCTGAGATGCAAGTTCAGGAACTTGTCAAACATTTTTTCTCCCTAATCAAGAATTCAGGTCAAACCAGACAACTATACTGGAACCTTCTCTCCATGGTACTCTGAGCAACTAATCAACAGACTCCCAGAATCACATCACTGATCCAATCATTTTCTTTCCTACCAATAATCATGACGATCGAAGAGGATGAGAAGGAAGAGTTGGAGTGTGTGAAAGAGGCCAGTATCTTGTACTTTATGATCCAGAGTAAGCTTCCTCCTCTTCCTATCTTCCTACCACCTGAAGGATTTGCCAAACAAGTCCATCATGTTAAATGAGCCTGGAGAAGAATGACAGGGGCTGCAACTGAGCGTACAAAATAACACTGCAGATGTACTTGATAAACACACTCATTAGGGAACCTCTTGCTTTTCACTACCAATTGCACCAAGTCAGTACTGCTTCTCTTTGCCTAAAGTAATGATATTACACATTATTGAGAGCTCCCATTGTCCTCTTTCCGAATCTTGGAAATCAAGGTTAAGATGATGAATTCTATTAATTTTTCCTCTGCTTTCATACTTGAGTTACTATTCCTGTACATGAAAAAAGAATCCATTCTTTTCTTCTGCAGTACTCCCCAACTGTTCATTTAACTTGTGGCTGGGATAAGAATTGAACAGCCTCCCCCACAGCAAGTAATTAACAGTGTGTCTGGATATGCATGGCCTTTTCTGTCTCCTGATGTCCAAAGCATTCATTTAGCACAAAGTGGAGCCACATCAAAGTAGCTCTCATTCATTGAAAGAAATCTGTCATAGGGCATTTGGAACTCCGTATTATAAGAAAGTCTGGCCTGGGACTAAATCCACACATTTTCACCCATGTTCTCTGCAACCATGGCTTTACAAACACCCATATCTTTGCCTTTCCTGAAACCTGGTTTTTCCCTGAAAATCCTGCTTCCCTCACAGGCTTCTCATGTGGTGGCTGTTTATTCATGCCCCTCCCCACCCACTCACCTCAGATGGAGGGCCTAGGGTTTCCCTCCTGGCTCACTGTTGCTTCTTCCAGGTATTTTTTCCTCCCCCCTTAAGCTAAAAACAAAGAGCAGGCCAAAAAACAAGTGCCTGTTTTTTTGAAGCTCATATATTTCAGCTACATTTTTATTATTTTATTATACTCTTCTCTCACTGATTTTTGTCATCTACAAACCTCTTCAGAAACCCCCTTCTCCCTCCCTCCCTCCTTCCCTCCCTTCCCTCCTTCTTTCCTTCTCTCTCTCTCTTTCTTTCTCTACCCCCTCTTTTTTTTCCCCCAGGGTCAATGGTCTTCCTTTTCTCCCAAACTCTGCCATCATCCTGGGTGATTTCAAGCTCCAGAGGGCACCATGCATCACCCAGGGCTCTCAGATCTTTGATTCTTCTTTTCTGGAGACTGCATCTTCCACTGTATATTAGCTAAAATCTGTAATTGCCCTTCTCTGTGCCTGAAGCCAAGAAGCTGCATATGGTTTGAGAAATAATGCACAGGGGAGAATGATTTTGTAAATTCATATTCGGCAACTTCAGGCCTTTGATGCTGCCTGGCCATCCCACCACAATTTCTCCAGGTACCTTATCCTTCCATTTTGTAAAACAAGTTTTTCATACTCTCTCCCTTGGCCTTGAAACTTAGACATCCTTACCTCCTCACTAGAAGATAGTTTTATGTTTATGTAAAGAGAAAATAAAAACATTCAGACTAAAACTCTCTCATCTTCCGCCTACCAAACTATAAGGCTACTTGCATCTATATGTAACCACAATCTGTCCTTTGGGCACAGTAGAGGACTGGTTCTATTTGTGAAGGCCAATCACTTTCTTGAATTGGTTCCCATCATCCACTCTCTTAGGAAGTTGACTATACGTCATACCCCCTCTCTCTCATATGTCTCAACTTCTCCCTCCCCTTTGGCTTCTATTAGCTCACAACCCTGTATAAATACCTGACATTTAAAAAACAAACAAACCACATCCTACTCCAGTCATCTTTCTTGCTCTATCCTACCCCTTACTACCTGATTTCTGAGGAGACCTGTGTTTCTTGCTGTTCTCCATTACCTCATCTTCTGCTCACTTTCCACCCAATTATATTCTAGGTTCTGCCTCATTAGCCCACCTCATTGCCCATGACAGGGTCCTCAGTGACTCTGGTAGGACTGCATCAAAAGGAGAGTTTTTGACTTTTGTCTTATGTGATCTCTTAGCAGAATTTGAAAATGTTAATGAGAGCTTTCATGAAACATTCTCAGCCATTTCTCTATACCCAACTCTTCTGGTTTTCCATTTACATCTCTCAACACATTAATCTTACTTCTTTAACAGGATTTATTACCCACTACCTTGCTATTAAATGGTAAAATCCCTCAAGTTCTGGCCAAAGACTTCTCTTTACTCCCTCTTCTTCTTACATGGTCTCATTCTAGCTCAGGGCATCAGTTATCACCTAGGTGCAAATTATCTGCTGATTCATATCTGCGTCCCAGAATGCCCCCTTTGTATTCTTCAGGTTTATCCAATTCCAACTCCATTTCTTCATGTCTATGTCACAAAACTACCTCAAATTTACTGTGGTTAAAACAAAACAAAGGATATGCTTCCAAAATAAATCTCCCACCATTGCACCATGATCCATTTGCTATAAATCTAGATATTATCACTGACAATTTGTTTTAACTCTTTCCCTCTCTCATATCCAGTGCACCACCAAGTCCTATTACTTCCAGACTCTATCTATAGTCCACTCGTTTCTTCATCCCAGCAGCCACCACTCCGGCCTCTTTCCATGTCTCAAGCTACCTTTGTCTCCCGACTTTCTCTCTTCTTTGAACGTAACCGCCTCTATTCCAGTCTCTGAAATTTTCATTTTGCAATAGACAATTGCAATAGACTGTACCACTTCCAGTTTTAAAACATTCCAATGGACTCTCATTGCTCTTAGTATAAAGGCCCCAAACCTCATAAGTCTCAGCAACATCTTGCCTGAATCCATCTCTCTGTGCCCTTTGAGCTACACCCTGATGGGCTTTCAGTTTCTTTTTTTTTTAATTTTATTTTATTATGTTAATCACCAGATATT